AATTTTGCTGCCAAATTGCCGCCAAATATGCGGCAGAGCTAGTTGTCGGATAATTGCTGCAAAAACCGCGCAGAACTTGTAGCGATTTGACGGCAGATTGGCGGCAGAAACCGCGCAGACTTTGCTGCGCTGCAAGCTTTGCGCGGTTTTTGCTGCAAATTTGGCACTAATTGCCCGACAGCAAGATCTGTCGCCAAAACCGTAACCTAAGATGACTATGGTTTTGCTGTGGGTTTTTGATCAAATTTGCTGCCAATCTGCGCGCAGTCTGCGCTCAATTTGCTTACTGGGTAATGATCTTTAAAAAAGTATCACATTGAAATCATAGTATGAAGTCACATCCTAGGTAGAACACAAAGTTATATAAAAGTCAAAATGACATCAAATGATATAAAAGTGATGTCATTTTGATGTCAAACAATATTCAGGACAATTTTATGACATTTTGACATCAGACGATTTTCACAACAATTTCATGACATTGATGTCAAAATGATATCATCTTGACATTAAAATGATTTTGTGTTCTACCTGGGATTGTAATGAAACATGATCATTACGTGTTTTTATCTGGAGATGTCCTACGGGCATTCTTAGAACTCTTTTGAATAGAATATGCTGAGTATATTTTCAGCTCTGAGACGTTAGTTTGTTACTTTTAGCATGTCTTAAAAAAGTATGAGGAACACAATCTGTCAGGATTCTGTATATTCAAGTTCTTAGAACGTCCTTAACATGTCTAAAATGCATCTCTGTGCTGTTTAGATAATAACCAGTCGTGAAATGATCACATTGTGACGTACTAGTAAGGTCATTTGTGTGAATATTAAAAAGGCAGGTTAATCACATTTCGATGTTTGAGAATAATGTTGGACTAGTGAACAATTATTGTTAATTGTTAATCATTGTCGACTTCGTCGTTATGATCGATAGGTTGTGGATGTTCTTCATTTTTTCGAAGAATTTTCAAAGGTCTATAAGTCTCATATGTTATTAATAAATAATCGGGTATCATACAAACTACAATGACGACTAAGCTGATTAACCAGAACGAGGGTGACATTAATAACATTTGGTAGACCCACAGCATGTCGCCGTCGTATTTTCTGGAAAGACACGAGCATGAGCATGAAAGAGAGAGAGAGAGAGAGAGAGAGAGAGAGAGAGA